GCTTGGGATGAATTGGTGAAGTAGGTGTCTGGGCACCTCACTCTGCATTTTCCTCAAAGAGGTGGAGGTGAGGAGGTAGTTGGCTAGAGTAGAGAATCTACTGCTTTAATGTTCTCTCCCTTGCTAGGYTGCCCCTTTCCTCTTTCTTTACTTAGGAGAGCAGGCTTTTGTTGTAGCTTTTTTTGGTCTGTACCTGTTGATTTTTCCAGGTTGCTAACTTCTGTTGGTCTAAGTCTTGGATATATAAAACAAAAAGAAAACTCAAGGAACTTAGCATTGTATTCTTGGTCCCAGTGTCACTAAACAGTCTGTCTTCTTTGCTTTCAGAGTGTCCCTTCATTTGCTTTATGTATAATGTCCAGGATTTAAAAATTGTATTAAATTGGAGGAATAGGGGTAAGTACTTCTACTCCATCTTAATAGAAGTGAAAGGTCTATTTTGAAACTTTTTAAAAGTTCATTTTTTTTTTCTTTTGGAGATGGGATTAAAAAATACAGGAAAATTGAAAGAAGAAAATTAAAATTACCTTAATCCTACTACCCAGATACAAATACTGTTAACATTTTAAGGTCTTTCCTTAGTGTTTATAATATTGGTTAAAAGAAGCAGAGCTGGGTAGTGTTGCATACCTGTATTGCACTTGGAAGGCTGAGGTGGGAGAATTGCTTGAGCCCAGGAGTTTAAAACCAGCCTATGCAACTTAGCATAGTARGATGCCATCTCAAAATAAAAAATAAAACAAAACAAAAACAAGGAAATTACTGGATAATTAGTGTGCATTGCTTTTCAGTAGATTTTAACACATTCTATACTATGCCTGACATGACAGACTGGTCCTATTATACTTACCTAATACTGAATATTATTGCTAATTTGAGAGATCAAATGTAATATCTAAATTTGCCTTTTTWATTTTTATATGCTTAATTTTCATGTTGATTTATTATTATTAATGTTAACTCAAATACAGTTGTGTTTTTTTGCRTTGATGTCATGTGGTAATGATCTAAACAGATATCTGTTCCAAACAACAAATTAACTTTTTCAATACTATTTATCCCTTTGCCATGGTTCTGTGATCCTTTTTAAATCATATATACTAGATACGTTTTGGGGCTGTCTTCTGATCTTCTGAAAATCCAAATATTTTTGTGATGCTTTGACCAATTGAAATTTTAGAAATTTTATTAGAAGAGGTAAGTGTGTAAACTAAAAAAGAAGAGGCGAGTGTGCTTTTTGTACAAGTAATRCTAACCATCCTGTTTTAATCTTTTATTATTATAGTAGCTCATATTAGATGGCCTTAATGGGGTTTGCTTAAATAAATCTTGGTAATGAAGTTTATATAATTGAAAAAGAAATGAGGTAGGTCTATAAGTACTGATAAGAAAGTTGTCCAGATACTATTAAAATTAGAGTAGAAAAACAATTTATAAAACCATATTATATCAGAATCTAATTTTATTAAAAATTGAAAGCTTAATATTTATTGTTTTTGTAACACTTGCATATTTTGAACAAGGACCTTGTACTACTCTTGTTGTCAGAAACAACAAAGATTAATACAAACATTTTAAAATGAACTTAGTAGGCAAAAAGTGAATCTTGAAATAAATGAATTTGATGTAGAAAATGAATGTGAAGAGTCAAAGAAATTTAGCGAAAGATGAGGAATGACTTGCTCTACCAGATAAGGATTATATTGTAGTAATTAAAGCAATTTGATTCTGGTGCCAATAGGCTGCTCTGGACTGGTCTTGTCCATTCCCATGTTCTCTTGTTATTTACCACAAAGAAACTTCAATTGGTGTTTGCTTTAAGATTATTCCTATTTTAAATTATTTAAGGTTTACTTCACTTAYCCATCCCTCTCCAGGAAATCTCTGCTACATTGCTACATTTGTTTTAAAATAATTAGTATAGGCTATTGTTTTAAATGTATCTAGCAAGACTGTTTTATAACAAGAATACAAAATAAAGCTCTTTTACTCTAAACTCTTTGGTTGCAAAGAATAGAAAGGGCAACTTTAACTGGATTAAGTAAAACAGGGAATTTACTGGGTGTTTTACCTGTAAAATCTGGAGATATTTTTAGCTCTCTGCATGCCTAGACCCGGGGACTCAAATACTATTATGGATTGTTTTCTCTCCATCTTTCACTTTTTGGTAGGCTTTTCCACTTTTAATGACTTCTCTCCCCTGCCCAACCTCCCACACATTTTCCAGYAGTTCTATGCTTAATAATTTCATCTTCTCTTTTCCAGCAATATCTTACAAAARTCCTGGAATCAAATTTCATTGGCCTGATTTGGGTCACAGGTCTATTCCTGAATCAGTCATTGCAGACTTGGGGATAGAATGTGTTGATGGCTGTAATGGATCATGTGTTCACTCTTGGGGCTGGAATATAGGGGAGTCTACTCCACTAGGATTGAGGGTAGAGGAGTAATTACCTAAAAATCTGAGGCCACCATACAAAACCATCTCTTACATGTCTACTTAGAACCCCTATCAAAAACCATGGGCACTTTGGAAGCAGGGGAAGGTCAGTTCCTGCTCTTTCTTGAACAAACCAAGGAAGTCTTGCTTGCTTTCCTCTGTGTGGAATGTATTTCCATATACTTATAGGGGTCACTTTCTTTGTTCCTTCAGGTCCTGTTTAAATGAGATTTCGTTAGGCTTTCCTGATGTCCCTCTTAAATTGTACCATCCC